GGGCTGGGGACCCCGGGCCGAGCAGGCACTACTTCCTGTTAGCTCATGCACACACCTGCTGTTTTCCTTGGAGAATTTTTCCACCGCGTAGATGATTTCGTTGTGTAGGCGAATCAAATAGCTGACGAGAGCGGTAGCACAGAGACCCAGGCCCCGTCGACGTGGCAGGAGGATCTCAAAATCAGTGTCCAGATCCAAGTCCGTGCTGCAGTACTCTTGAGGTAGGCTAATCTCACCTTTAAACAACAGGGTCATTCTTAAGCAGAGAGGAGTTCAACTCCTCATAGAATCTAGGCATGGAGAGGAGGGTACAGAAGCCATCAGCTCCACACAGAGCTGGGAGCTGGGTCTGGGTTCTGCGCCATCTCGTATGCTGATGAGTTTCAAATGCTCAGTTTCTCAGCTCTCTTGTTCAAGCCATTTAGGGACTGAAGAGGACTGAGGGTTTATTTTCCTCATCCCAGACACCGCCATCAAAAGAGTCACTAGTTAAGCATTAACACAGTGCTGTGTTCACAGGATGGGCCGAGTCAGGCTGATGGGAAAAGCTTTCAGACCAGGCTCTCCTGGAATGCTTAGTGACGGGGACAGGACACTAACCGTTTGTCTCAAGTGATCTTCTCAGTTTGTTCCATGTCGACAGAAAGATGGTGATTCTGTTCTGCAGTAGCTGCCTTAACCCATCTGTTGAATAGAACACTTTGTAAGAGCCCTGTGATGGCAACCCCCCTGCTGGGGCCACACCACCCTTGTCACATGTTCTGCCAGGAGCCCATCTTTGCTGCGCTGTGCAGTCGAGCATGTCTGAGGTGCTGTTTGAAGCACTGAGCCGAGTTTGCGGAGCTAGAGAGGGAGGTGCTTTTCAGCTGCAGCAAAAGCTTCTGATGTTTTTGGGGTTCAAGTACCCTTCATCTCATGCTAAGGGCTTAGGCTGTAGAGTGCCCATCAGTCCCTCCTTTCCTCCCCCCCCCCGCCCCCCTCTGCAGCGATCCTTTCAAACCACCAAATGCGGGACAGTCCTGGTCTCGTCAGAGCAGAGCCACACCTGAACTGTGGCTGCTGATGAAGCCTCTGATGGAGCGGTATTCAGCCTGCGGGACGTTCTGGAACCGCTTCACCAGCCCCCTTTGCAGGGCCAAAATCTCAGGCAGGAACTTCACCAGCCTCAGCTCTGCTTCCTGGAGAAGGGAAGACCACCTGGTAACACTTTTTATTTACCTAAAACATGTTACTGGGGATATAGACTTTGAGGCTGGCGGGGAGACTTGTATTTCTAGCTTAATCTGGTCAGTGTCATTTTCTGTGACATGGCATGGAGCTTGAAAATGGAAAAAGGGCCCTCCTGCTCTTCCTGCAAGTCTACTGACGGTGCAACATGTTAGAAATGGATGACGGAGAAAGCGGAACCCGGCCTCTGTGGAGATGGTACATCAGCCACGTGCACCAAAGGCTGATGAAGGAAATGTGCCCCTGGGCCCATGTGACTGGCTGGGTGTGGAGAGAAGCTGCTGAGAAGAGACCCAGAGCTTAGGCAGCGAGGGCTGGCGTTATTCCTGGGTGTCCTTCTGAAGACCCAGGATCTAAACATCTTCGATATAATGAAACCACCTCAGAGAGACAGCACAGCATTGAGAGGAAGTCCTTCCTGTCATTGGAAGGACTAATATTTCCTAACTGACCAATATAAACTTCCAATCATCTTCTGCCCTGCCAGACAGCAAATACTAGTTCATGGAGAGAAATGATTAGAAAATCTGTCATAGAAAATGAAAGTACAAATGGATGAAAGTTAGAAAAGTGTGCCTCCCTGCCTTCCTTCCCTCCTTCCTTCTCTCTCCCTTCCTCCCTGCCTGCCTGCCTGCCTTCTCTATTGCCAGGCTGGAGTGCCGTGGCACAGTCTCAGCTCACTGCAGCCTCTGCCTCCCGGGTCCAAGAGATTCGCCTGCCTCAGCCTCCCAACCAGCTGAGACTACAGGTGTGTGCCACCACGCCCAGCTAATTCTTTTGTATTTTTTATAGAGATGGGGTTTCTCCATGTTGGCCAGGTTGGTCTGGATCTCTTGGCCTCGTGATCCACCCGTCTCGGCCTCCCAAAGTGCTGGGATTATAGGCATGAGCCACCGCGCCCAGCCAAAAAGTGTGTGTTTCTAATTCCAACAGACATGATCAGTCCACTTGATGGCTCCCCAGTACCCCACCACCGTCAGCACACAGCCACTCGCTCGCATCTTCCGCCTGTACCTCAATGCCTAGGCACAGGGAGGAGTTAGGTTTGATCTGCCCATGCTCCAGCACTGCAGACAGAGGAACGGCGGCTGGGAAAGAGCTGCCTCCTTTTCTGTCTGGCTGAGTGATGACGGAGGCCTTCTCCTGACCTCCAGCTTCCCCACAGGCCACGGCTAATCCCAACCTGGGTGTGTATTTCATCTGTGACTTGACACTTCAGGCGATCATACGGTTTGATATGAATGAAGATCTCTGTCCGTGAGTCTTCTGCTACAGACATTCTATTTAAAATCAAAGCACTGAAATAGTCTGGTGAAGACGTCTCGTCTTTAGGAATAATTATACTACATAAAAGCCCAGGGCCTTCAGGTCTACTGGGGAACTCTGCACCGAAAAAGGGAGGCAGCCAGGGTGAGCCAGACGTACCTTCTGCAGGAAGTGCCAGAGGACGGGCACTCTTTCTTTGCCATTTTTCTGCTCCACGATGTGCTGGAGGTGCTCAACTGTAATTCTCTTCCTGCAGCTCCAAATCTTAGAGCAGTGGACCACACTTTTCCGGGGCAGGTGGGGCAGGAAGGTCACTGGGTCACCATATATTATTTTGGCCACAGGGTTAGAGCTGATACGCTTATCTTGGCTGATCTGAATATGAACGGCGGGAAGGGTTTTATCTAGATGCTGGATGGAGAAGATGAAACAATTCTGGAAGTGAGGTATTGCCACAAACAGATTGGAACACCCAGTCACTCCACCAGTGGGTATCTGCATTCTAGGGAGTTTGTCCCCTGCTCTGAGTGTGTCATCAGGCATTCCCTTTGATCTTTTATTCTAATTTCAGTGTTGTTTATAGATTTATGTCTCCCCAAACAGAATGAGATTCGGAGACCTGTATCACTCTCAGTAGTATTGTGACTGCTGGATGAGCAATTCATCTATGATTGTCGGCTCATTTTTAGTGGGTATCTACGTGATAGTTTGTTTCTCTGCCTCATACATTACTCTCTGCTGTAAAAAGTAATGGAGAGAAAAATACTGCCTGCACTTGGATTCCCAGTAATTCCTCGGACTAACTCATGAGCAGCTGCAGGAGGGAAGAGCACTTGGGGACAGGAGGAGGATGGGGTGACTCGAGGTGCAGAGTGTCGGAGTCGGGCTCAGCCACAGGCTCCTGCTGGCACCGCTACGAAGGGCAGCAGACGCCGGGAGCCTTCCTTTCTGGGCAGGGGAGCAACACAGCCGCCACTCACTGCTTACCTCCAATTCAGGCGAAATCACAGCCGCAATGTCCTTTTCCCAGTTGTTCCTCATTTCTTTAGTTGACAGTCTTATGTCAAAATTTAAAAGTCCTACAAAAAAACCCCAAAATGTGTAGGTTGCCCAGGGCACAAAGAACACAGCAGTCTGTGTATATTAAACACTAAGCAAGTGTTTAATGGAAATAACGCTCCCTTTGAAGCAATAGTTTTCTAAATTAATCTAAGTATTTTGAAATAGTTCTGCCGCCATCACCCGAATGATCTTTAAGATAATGTCAATCTCTAAAAATTCCCTCTACCTTACATAATTGTAATCTTAGAACTATTTTGAAAAAAGTACTGAAGGAACAGAACCTAAGCTTCAAAGCCCAGGACGTAGTAACGGGCCGGGCCGTCACCAGCCAACTCAGCTGCTGCCACCCAAGCCTGAGGCGGGCCACACAGATGCAGAGTGCTGCAGGAACAGACTGTCCGCCTGCCTCCAGGATTCTGTCATTTCTTCAGTGTGACTGTGGGTGTGCGCACTCATTGAAATCCCACCAGAATAAGAGGCCTAAAGTCAAATCAGATTGTTCAAAATGGAAAATAAATACGAATGCGGGTTTCAGGCAAAGAAGTATCTGAGGTGGGAGCAGATTTTCTTATCACGGGCAGGACTTTTCATTGCTATTGTTATTACTTTAAATAACATTGTCCTCACAATAGTAATTGTGGTTTTTGCAGATTAGCAAATCACTTTTAATTCTGCCACTCATGGATAACCATTTTACTAAGTTGTTTTACAGACCTTTTCTTTCTGTATGGATTTAAAATTTTTTAAAATTAGCTCAGTGAATACAATATTTTATAGCCTTTTTTTTTTTACATAACTGGACATATAAACATTTAATACATCAGCACACAACTGCGATGTGTTTGGGAAAGCAGGAGCTGCAATGGTGACGTGTCTTTGACACACACTACCTATGGGGGTGATACGCACTCCCAGCATGGTAGGGAATGACCTGTGGGGCTGACGTTGGAACTGAAAAGACTCCCATATATGCACGCGGACCATTTCTGTGCAGGTGCACCTGAGTACTGCGGGTCTTAGCCAGGCAGAGGTGAATAGAGAGAACAGAGCAGCTCCTAACATCCTCTGGGCAAGCAACGTGCTCCCTCTTCCCAGCTCCAGGCACTGCCTTCCCTAGACACGGTTTTCTCTGTGTGTTCTCTCATTCTTTCCAGCCATAGCACGGACAGAGCTCGGACTGGCCGCGTGTGGGGTGGTCCAAAGACAGCGAGCCGCTTTCACTGCAGTTGTGCCACGTGATCCCCGCCCAGCCCCTGCCCCTTTCCTCACTCTTGCCAGAGGGCTGGTTCCGCTCTTGGAGAAGCCCGCGCAGGACGAGGTGGACTACACTGGTGGTCTCATCAGCACTGTGTCTCAGTATCTTGGTCAACTGCTCCAAGTCCTTCAGGATGTGCTGCTGCAGAAAGCCTTGTGGATCCCTCACTGGAGGCTTAATGATGTTCATCAGAGCCTATGGGGGCAACAGAACAGAGCGCTCAGTGGGATTTGGGATCTGGTTTGTAGATGAGATGGGGAGCCTGGTAGAGGCTGTTGGGAGTGGAGCGCCAGCACTGAGGTGGAAGGAGGTCTCTAAGATGAAAGCTGTGGAGTGATCCAAGCACGATTCCAACAGGTAAGAGGAAGGCGAGCAAGCGGAACAGCTGCTAGCTTTTCTGTTATTAGAGTGAGAGAGAATCCTCAGAGCCTGTACTTTTTGCCCTCTTGGTTAGTATTATCTTAGAAGAATGCAGTGTGCTCTGTGTTTCTTCCCTAGAGCCACAATGAAGACACAGGTAAAATAACGCAGATGTCAGCATCTCTACTCCCTGATGTGGACCAAAGACACAGTTGTTGATCGGAAGTGGATTTTATATCTGGTGAGTACTTCCCCATACCCTCCTATGCCACAGGGCATGAGGATGTGTAACCTTCATATAACTTTACAGACTAATTATCTTCAGAATGCAGAAGCTAGGACTCCCTGGGAAGAGGGGAAAGCAGGTTCTTCCTAGAGTAGCTCAACGCATTGTTTGGCAGCACCGGGCTATACCTGGGGACTCTGGGCAGCTCCCAGAAGCAGAGCCAAGTGAGTAAGTAGCCGGATAAGTATGAAGACCAGTGGGGGCAGCTCTCGGTCACACGTCACCACCAGGTCTCTCTGCTGTGGGTTGCCTAGCACGTGGCCAGTCTGCGTTCTGTCTTCGTTGTTGCTGGAAAGAACAAGAGAACACAAGGTAAAGGCTGAGGCCGGCCGCTTGGGCGCACTGCACATTCTCAGCGCTTGGACTGAGGCTCATGGCCGAGAAGACAGCTACGTCCAAAGAACTTCTTGTTCCACTAAGCCCAGGCCATGTTCCTAAGAGTCTCTCGTGACAGACTGGCCTTTCTGGCGGACTAGACCCCACCGCATTCTCAGCGTAAAGTGGCTGCGCTGTGCCCTGTTGATGCCGATCCTGGGGCAGGGTGTTAGGATGCAGGCCTGGACCCATCTTTTCCACTGAAGTCTGTTGGGAGAGGAGCAGCTGGGCTAAGAACAGCTAGAGTTTGGGACAGTTGGTATCCCATGGGTGTCCATGTTCTCATTTTCCCAAAGGAACAACTGAGATCCAGAGTCTGGCAGATGGGAGGTACAGTGTGGTAGATACTCTCAGTGGCAAAAACATGAGAGGTTGGAGGACACTGGGCTAGTTTCTGGAGATAACATGAAAATATGTGCAGCGGTGACGGCAGTGGGACAGTCGGAACGTGAGGACTGTGCAGGTCCCACTCCTCTCTGAAAGCAGTACTTAGAACCGCGCTCATCTCAGTGTGGGGTCAGGTTTCTATCTGAAGTCTGGCATTTGATAAGACTATGTCTCCTTCTTTTTTCTCAAAAAAAAAAACAAAACACCACCGCATATTTCTATAGAGGGTGCACCCAAGGCCCAAAAGGAAGACACCTGTGTTAATATTAACGAGTATTAAAGTGTAGTCTGCTTTGCATTTCAGGGCCCAGTGAGCCAACAACAGGTCCGATACCTCCCTGCTGTGTGACTCGTGGGGCTTCGGCATTGCTATTCGGCCTGACACAGGTCCAGATTAGTACTATCTTGAGTATCACTTTATCAGCTGGAAGAAAAACAGCCTGACACCCCAAGGTTTGATAATTAGGAAGTACAGCCCCGGCGCACATACCTGACCATTTTAAAGCCGTCCTGAGGTCTGTGGTTAACGCCTCCAATCGGTGCACGACAGTCAATGCATACGCTCTGTTCCATCGGCCTGCCGCACTACAGTGAAGACAGAGGCCGCTCAGAATCACTTCTGGAGCCAGTACCATTTTATGTACAAATGCTGTCCTGCAAATGACACCCCCTTATCGCTGGAGGATGTGAGCGGCCTCAGATTGTCTGTTCCAGCATTTCAGGTGGGTAGAGAACCCATGGGCACAGGGTAGGTACTCACTAATGTTGTACATGGGCAAATTTGAACTGGTTTTTTTTTTTTTTAATGAGACAATTTAAGCTTTATTCCCAGGGTGACACTTTACAGGCAAGTACATAAAATTCAACCTTCCTTTCTCATGTTCAGCATTTTTTCAGTTCTTCCGTCTATCACACTGGCCTGTAGCCCTTCACGATCTAATACCAAGAACACTAGAATAGCTTCCAAACTGACTTCCTTATGTCCATTTGGACTTTCATATATTTATCTTGCTCTGTCATCCAGGCTGGAATGCAATGGCACCATCCTGGCTCACCGCAGCCTTGACCTCCCCAGGCTCAAGCTGTCCTCCCCACCGTAGCCCTCCAAGTAGCTGGGACCACACGCATGCACCACCGTGCCCTGCTGATGCTTTGTGTGTTTTGTAGAGACAGGGTTTCAACATGTTTCCCAGGCTGGCCTGAAACTCCTGGGCTCAAGCAATCTGCCTGCCTCAGCCTCCCGAAGTGCTGGGATTACAGGTATAAGCTATCACACCTGGCTTGGACTTTTTTATTTTAAAAAATCCAGTCATATGATCTACTTCCAGAGGCTCATTTTTCAAAATCGGATATTGTGCTACTGAATACTGAGAATCACAGCTGACAACAGACAAACCAGTCACAAAATTTCAGAGCTGGGAGCATGCCTGGATAGAATCTATTTCAGTCTCCTCATTTCATGGACAAGGAAGTGATTGAAGCTCAGAAAAATGAAATGTATATATCAGTTTTTCTCCTTTCGTGTCTCTTATATACTGTATTAAATGACACATATCAGGCTGGGCACAGTGGCTCATAATCCCAACACTTTGGGAGGCCAAGGCAGGAGGATCACTTGAGCCCAGGAGTTCAATGTTATAGTGAGCTATGATCATGCCACTGCACTCCAGCAAGAGAGCCCGACACTGTCTCAACCAAGTAAGTAAGTAACACTAACGAATTACTACCGTGTATGAGCTCAACCCACCAGGCTCTTGCTCAGCAAGTATAGACACTATGGAGGGCTCTGAGCTAGATGCTTGAGAATACAGACAGGAATAATCACGTTCCTCTCCACGGCACACAATCTACAAGTCGCTTCTTCCCGTCCTTTGACATCTGGACGAGCCTTCTCTATGGGCTAATCATGCAGCCTGTGGTCCAGGCCACACCTTGCCATTCTATCAAGACCAGGGCCACTGATCCCGTGCTGCAGTGGCTAGAAAGAATGGCTAGCAGCAGTTCCCAACCAGTAGCAATTTTCTTTCCTAGGGCGCCTTTGTCAGTGTCTGGCTTTAGCTCTGACACTGGGAGGAGGAGTGCTCCTGGCCTCCAGGGACTCGAGGTCAGGCATATTGCCAGACATCCCACAGGCTGTCCACAGTGCGGAGGCTGAGAAGCCCCAAGCTAGAAACCCTTAGCACCATTGACACTGCCATGCTCAGAGCACCCAGGGCAGTCCACAGTGAGCCTGTGCTCTCCTCGAAAGCCGAGAGCCTCACTCTCCTCGCCCACGATCCTGCTCCTCCCACCCTGGCATGCGTGCCACCCCTCATGCCCTATCTTAAATACCAAGACTCACCTCTCCCACGGAGCAAGGATGGCCATTGGGACAAGCTGTGAAGAGAATAGGACACACATTAGCTAATGAGGTTTCACCAAATCACCCACATTGAAAGGGGAAAGCTAATTCTCTACTCTCTGGCCCTGACCCAAATATGAGAATGGGTGTCCAGGGCACCCACCAGATCTGGAGCTGATCGGTTAAGTGCTATGACACCTGCCTGATGCTCAACAGGTGTATGTTGTCAGTGAAAAATGTCTGAGTTTAATTGTCCGAAGCACAGAGAAATCAGAAGATAGGCCCGTAGCAGGCGCACTTCTGGAGCGAGGTGGATAGAATTCTAGACCCTTCAGTCCTCTGTGATCCTGTTTTTTGTCGCGAGCGTATTTTATAACAACTTTGAAAACTAGTTTTAAAACATTTACTCAGGCAACAGCAAAAGTTACGTGTCAGGGGTTCTATTAGTCCGTCTCCCAGTGCTATACTTCATGTATTTCAGAAGAGCTATCTTTGTGTCAAAAACTTGTTTTGTGAGGGGCCTGTGAATGCGTCTCTGCTGTGCTCCCCGTCCCCTCCGCCTCCCAAAATAGCGTATTCCAGAGAACAGAAGTGCATCCCAGAGGGTCTTTTCCACACGACTAGGAAATGCAATGGTTTGGATCATCTAGCTAGTGGAATGCCAGCTCCTTCAAGCCACCCATATTCTTCAGACACCATGGGTAGAAGGCAGATGATCTGGGACCTTGAGGCACAAACCAGGTGGACCCCAAGTCGAACCCAATGCTTCGTGGCATCCGGACACCCCATGAAGCTGAGAGGAGACCCCAACACTTACTGTACCAGGAGACTCCCTCCAGACCTTTCCATCTCCTAGCCTGAGCCAGCAAGTCTTCAGGCATGGTTGGGAGAAAGGCATTCTGAAAAACAAGAAAACAGAGCACTAGATAAGTGAGCATGTGGACGGTGTGGCTGCTCAGCAGGAGGCCTAGAGGAACAAGGAGAGCGGTGCCTTCTAGTTGACTTCTGAAGCTATCTGTGAAGAAAACAGAAGAGCTCCCAGTGAAATAACAAAGGCCAAGGCAAGTCTGCCACTATCCTGTGTGCTCAAGAATCAAGGAGATAAAGATGCTCAAGAGTGCCCACGGCTGCAGCTTGGTCTCCACGGTGACAAGCTCTCGGCGCGGGTACTGGGGAAGGCCAGTGGAATCGGAGCCTATTCTTACCGCCATGTCGGCTGGGGAGAAGGCCAGATTCTTTAGGGGTCCCAAGACTTTATTCTGTCCGCACAGAAGGACGGCTGCAGTGTGAATGGCCATTTCTGTCACTGTGCCCTCAAGGCTGCTGTCACTGGGGCCCGCCCTCAACAATGGCAGAGAATTGTCCACGAGAGATGTTGCAAAGTGCCTGATATCAGTAGATGAAAGGATCTTGCATTCGCCAATGAACTGGCTCACAGCTTCACGTTGCTGACAGGAAAAAAATAACATTAAGATACATCAAAGAATATTGTGTGAATTCAGAGGTCTGCTCTCAGGCATACGCTGACACCAAATATACATCAAATATCAAGGTAATTTTTCAGAGAAGAGAATTTGCGTAAACAAACACAGCCTCCACGTGCGTAAGCGTCAATTCTGATATTCTGTGTGTGAAACATTGTCTTAGGTTCTTTAGTTTTCATTGTAATTCTGCAAGCTTTGGGTTAAAGAAAATAGTTGTTCCATGTAACAAGGTTGAAAACCTCCATCCTAGATTAAAAAATTATGGCATGATTTGTGTTAACTTGTATTCTACTCAATAAAGCCCCTCCAAACACTGAGACTTTGAACCCAGCCTTGAAGGCGGTTACTCACCTCTGGCGTGGGGTGGAGGCTCGCATTGTGGGATCTGTACAGAATAGCCACCTCTCTAAACAGCGCCAACAGGAAGTGGACTGCCTGCAGGGCTCTGGGGGTCCGGCAGGCCTGCAAAATCATGGGCATCAAGTGAGAATTTAAAGGCTCAGCAGGTCTTTTTCTTTTTTTTTTTTTTTTTTTGAGATGGAGTATTGCTCTGTTGCCCAGGCTGGAGTGGAGTGGCACAATCTTGGCTTACTGCGACCTCTGCCACCCGGGTTCAAGTAGTTCCCTTGCCTCAGCCTCCAAGTGTATGTGGTGTGTGCACACACACGTATACACACGCATTTTTTAAGTAGAGGCAGGGTTTCACTATGTTGGCCAGGCTGGTCTTGAACTGATCTAACCGCCTAGGCCTCCCAAAGTGCTGGGATTAGAGGTGTGAGGTACTGCCCGCCCCCACCCCTGGATCTGCCTAAGGGCCAAAGGCCCACATAGTTTGCATGTGAAAAGGAAAGTACCTCAGCCCTCAACCCACCAATCAGGGAAGGAGCCTTTTCTAGGCCTGGACACCTGGGGTCAGGACCCACATGGGCCATCAAGTGGCAAGCAACTTTTGGGCTACAAAGTTCCTAAAATACTCTCAGATTAAACTCAATGCATGTTTAGCAGACAGCTTAATAACAGAAGCAACGGAATCACCATCTGTTCTTCTGACTCCTTCACTGGTCTTAGAAACTTCCTGAGCAGAAAGGATTTTCTATTTCCTCCTTTCCTGGCACAGGAACTCAAAAAGGAAGCCAGATCAGACCAATTTAAAGGTTAGATTCTAAAAACATCTTTATATTTTTTAACTTCCCACACTACACCAACGTGTGTATTTTTATTAAGCACAGGCATGTCTGTGAATCGCAAACACATATAGATAGGAATTCTGCTATTAATAGTCGTGTCAGCATCTTTCTGCCACTGTTTTCCCACAGGGTCTCAAAGGAAGCAATGGACAGAAACAAATCAACAGGGGCTGCCGATGGCCTCGGCAGATCAGCAAGACAGCAAATCTGTCAACCTGGCCCAGCTGTCGCAGCTGTCCCGTTCCAGTCACTGGTTAGCTCATACCGGCCAGGTGCGCCCCGGAGGCCATGGGCATGGGACTTGCAGTACAGTGTCACGTGATCAGGGCTTCAGTGGTCCACCACCCTGCATCGCTTGACGTCACCCAGGGAACACGCAGGCCCCAAGGGGTGTCATCTGGTATCAGTGAGAAGCCACGGGCCCACCCTACCTTCAGAGCAGTCTCCATGTCCAGCGGCTTGCACTCGAGGACAGCTTTGGCCACAGTGTCTCGGAGGGCCTTGTATTCATTGCCATACACCAGGTACCAATCCATCTGGCCTGGGTGGTCCTTCTGCAGCCCCGGGAACACGGGTTAGTTGGGGGTGAACGATGGGAGGAATGTTTTGCAAAGAACTGTCTTACTAGGTGTAGGAGCAGGTGATCATTTGAGGTTTAAAGGCAGCCGAACTGGGATTCCCCCACCTGGCCTAAGGCAGGGCAGTCTGGTGCCTTCTTGGCAGGAGCTTCCTCCTCCGTAGAGGAAGAGGTGCGAGAGCAGGGAACGCCTGGGGACAGCAGTGCTGACCGGGGAGCTGCTTGCTTCTGACATTCGAGGCGTTGCACTGCACCATGCCCGAGGCTGGGTGACTCCAGTCAGGTCAACTCTCAACCCCAGTGGGTGGTCACAGTGCCAGGTTTTTAGTACCATTTTTGATCCCCAGGACAATAAGAATTTGTTAATTTCTGGGCACCTGGAAAGGACCACTGAGAGGCTTCAAAGCCTCTTTTTTGGGAGTGGGAAGGAGTGGTCTCACTCTGTCGCCCAGGCTGGAGTGCAGTGGTGCAATCTTGGCTCACTGCAACCACCGCCTCCTGGGTTCAAGCAATTCTCCTGCCTCCGCCTCCTAAGTAGCTTGGATTACAGGCACCCATCACCACGTCCAGCTAAATTTTTTTTACTTTTATTTTTAGCAGAGACAAAGTTTCACCATGTCGGCCAGGCTGATCTCGATGAATTCCTGACCTCAAGTGATCCACCCACCTCAGTCTCTCAAAGTGCTGGAATGACAGGTGTGAGCCCCCGCGCCCACCGGGGGCTCACACCTGGCCTTGAAGCCTTTTACACAGTTCTTCTATTCTTAGTTCTCACTCTTGCATCTCTCTGCCTGTCAGAGGTAACAAGGCCGCACCTTGCAAGGTGAACTACGTTTAACTGATCACCAGCTGGGGCAGATCAGTGGAAGGCGGAGAGGAAGGACCAGACAGACAAGCACATGTTTCCGCTCCTGTGAGGCTGAGGGCGGGCAGAATGCAGGAGCATCGGCACCAGCCGGGGGTATGGTGTATGGGTGTGAGGGCATAGTGTGAGGGCATGATGTGTGGGGGTGTGGCACGAGAGTGTGGTGTAGGGGTGTGGGCGCGTGGGACGTGGAGGTGTGGTTGGTATGGGTTATGGGTTTAGGGGTGTGGGGTGTAGGTATGTGTTGTGGGGGCGTGGTGGGTGCGGGGTGTTGGTGTAGAGGTGTGTGGGTGTGGTATGGCAGGCGTGGTGTGTAGGGGTGTGGTGTGTGGGGTTTGGGTGGGGGTGTGGGTGTGATGAGGGGTATGTGGGCATTGTGTATGGGAGTGTGGGGTGTGTGGGGGTCCATGTTCAAGGGCTGCCGGCCCCACTTCTCACCTGCTGCTCGATGACTTCCTTGGGAAACACCCACTGGCACGGATGGCCCGGCCTGGAGAGGCCCTGCACGAACTCCATCCCCCGCTGGCTGCTGAGCTTCCGCACCAGGTACACCCGGTGCCAGTCGTTCCCGCCGCGGGTACAGAAGTGCTTGACTTCCTGCAGGTAGCACTCCTTCTCCTTCGCCATCTCTGAAAGGCCGACGAGAAAGTGGGTGAGCAGCTGGTGACTTGGAGCATTTATAGAAGGACACAAGGCCAACCAAAGGGCACAGGACCTCCCCACGGGAATTCACAGCACGTCCCGGGGGAGAGGACGTGGAAAGGCCCAGTAGTAGTCTCTTCGTAGAACCAGTTCCCACACTCCCGGAATTTCTAAATAACGGAGTCTTTCAGCCCAAAGTAAAGCAAGGTGGAGAAGACTCACCTGGGCCTCCCTGGGGCTCCGAGAGGAAATCCGCAGCCCTGTCGAGGCAGAGGCGGATCCGGGCCACCTCCTGCAGGTATTCCACCGAGGCCTCGTGGGCAGGCTCTCGGCCACGTCGCACTGGAGAATATGTCTTAAGGAAAACAGTTTCCTCTCTCAGGTGGTTCAGTTCATCATTTCTGGAGCAAACACTGGTCTTCTCATGTATTGAATCCTGAGGACGAAGGAACAAGGAAGAAAAGGATATTATTCTTTTAAATATGGAAGCCCCAAGCTTCTAAAATTGCCATTGTGCCTGTGGAGAATGAAGGAAGGATAAAAAATGCTATTGCAGGTTTCAGTATAAGTTTCTTGACTCATGGAAACCTAATACTCCTTTTTATTTTAAGGGCAAGAAGGAGGGGAAAAAGTGAACCTATGAGGAAAAAGTTTTATATAATCTAATTTATGTACTTTATGAAGATAATAAAAAGTATTCATAATGTCTGCACCCAATGATAACCACTGTTAACTTCGGTGGTATATTCATTCTTCTAGGCTGTTTTTTTTGTATGCATATGCACCTAAGTGCCAGTGTACACACTGCTGAAGGCAGAAGCAATGTCTTTGAAACCTTTCTTTTTTATATATAATTCTATTTATAATTAACAGAGCATTTGTTAATTATACTGACTAAAATTATTCTGTACATTTTAAACCATGTGGTTCAGATAGTTTGCAAAAAATTCAGGGAAGAGAGAGTTCGCTTACCTCCAGGCAGTTGATAAACAGCATGTACAGTTCCGTTTTATCTTCAATTATGAATGCTTTCTTTTTTAACAGGGTCAAGTAGTCCTGAATATAATCTTTTACATCATCGAAGCTGTGGGAAGAGAAATATTATTCCTGGCTCTCTCAGATCTGGAGATGTATCTTACTAAAAAAAGGTCATCTATCCTGTCTGTATGTATATAAACATACACATATATGTAGTTTCTGGCATTTTAGGGAAAACACTGTAGCATAATACTGGGAATATAAACCATTTTAGAGCAGCTGTTCTTAAACTTTTTGGTTTCAGGACCCTTTTATAGTCTTAAAAATTATTGAGAACCCCGAAGAGCTTTTCTTTATGTGGGTTATATTATCAATATTTATGATAGGAACTATGCGACATTAGAAACAAAAGTTTTCATTTAAAATTACAGTAAAGCTATTACATGATAAATAACGTTTTAAAAAACTTTTCCAAAACATGAATCAGTGAGGAGGGCTTGGTCTCCCATTCCTGTTCTCACCCTGGGGCCTGGCCCCTGCAAGTCTGCTGCCTGCCTGCCTGCCTCTGCTCCTCATCTGCTGCGCCATGTGAGGAACATGAAGAAAACCTGTCCTCACACCCTTGGAGCAGCGAGGAACGTTTCACAGGTTTTGCAGATCACTGTGGACGTCATTCCTTAATACTGTGCCAACAGTGACAAATGATCATGTCTGAAGGTTAGTTGCAGTGTGGAACCTGAAGCCATATCAATGCATTTTTTCATAGTCAGTTATATTAAAAGTTCTGCCAGATACTTGATTATTTTTTTGAGATGGAGTCTTGCTCTGTCACCCAGGCTGGAGTGCAGTAGCACAATCTCAGCTCACTGCAGCCTCTGCCTCCCAGGTTCAAGCAATTCTCCTGCCTCAGCCTCCCAACTAGCTGGGATTACAGGCGCCCACCACCACCATGCCCGGCTAATTTTTATATTTTTAGTAGAGATGGGGTTTCACCTTGTTGGCCAGGCTTGTCTCGGACTTCTGACCGCAGGTGATCCACCCACCTCAGCTTCCCAAAGTGCTGGGGTTTACAGGTGTGAGCCACCATGCCCGGCCTGCCTATACGTTAAATGTTTTTCTTTTTTGACCCACACATGATTTTGTGACATCAGGCGTTGGTCATTTGGAAAATATCGGTTCACTGGGCTATGCAGGTCTTGCAAAATTTGACACATTTTGATTCTACATTTTCCACATTCATTAATATCACCACAGATTGCCTTAAAATGTCTTTAAGTCAACACCGTCAGCTGTTTGGATGAGGCCAGCATGCTCTGCGGATTTCTAGGAGGGGCCTGCCCAGCCCTGGAGAACTCACGTGCATCCGCCCAGCACAAGAGCCAGCCCAGAAGCAAAGCGGCTGCTAACTTGGCACTTGTCACAAGTGGTTTTCTGCGAGGTCAGCGTCCCCTCTGGTGTGCAGGGGGAGTGTGTTCTGTGTGCTTCCCATTTCCACAAAACATTAAAAAGTCAAATCCTCAAGAGTCAAGATTTAGTAAAAATGAAACTGGCATGAACAAATACCACCTAAGCACGGTGCTGAAGACGATGTTGCGACTACAGCATTGTTCGTGCAAGGGGCCGCGGCTTGACCCACCACTGCTTTTGTAACGTCACCCTAAGTGTCACCATGCTAAAAACAAAGGCAAATTTATCTTAGTATTCTAATTTTTAAAACAGTTTGACCTCAGAGACCTACCTCACACCCAAGGGTCCACACCAACACTCTGAGAACTGCAATATTAGAGCAATACAAGTACCACCAGGGACACTATTGGATGTCAGCAGCCTTTCACAAGGAAATACACAGAGTCCGTGTTGGGGGAGTATCGTTAGAAGACATGGAGGACATTCGGGGTGAGCGGCAGTCTAAGCTACCACCCTGAAAACCACAGACGAGGCCGCTGTGGGACCAGGTCGGCACCACAGATGCCTGCCTCCTGAGTTCCGTGACCTTCACGCCACCACCCTCCCCTCATGGCACTGTTGGCTTCTGGCTAGATGTGTGCTTGTGGGTGTACTAAACTCGTGCCTAGTGTGAAAACGTCAGAATACCCAACCAGTACAGATAACCAGGTCGTCTCTCACCAAAAAAGCTCCCCCAGATTACGTACCAGCTACTAGTCATGACGAGAAGACTCAGTAACAAAGGGCCGTGAAGAAGAGCAAAGGCCGGGGCTTTCCAGAAGCAAGTCTCCATGTT